CCCCGCATTAGAACAAGGGCCCCGCGCGGACGACACTCTCACTAACTCGGTGCCTACGGCGCACCGTCCTACGGAATATAAGAAGCGCTTCTGGCGCGGCTTCGTCATTCGAGCGGCATTCGAGCGGCAATTCGAGCGACAGCAAGCGGCCCAAACCAGAAGAACAAGCAAGCAAGATGCCCTCAAGATCCCTACTAGTTCAGTGATAACTGCCGCATAATAAATAATTGTAAATAGATTGTAAATATAGTGAATTGTTTCTTAACGGATTTAATTTCAACTCAACCTTATTTAGTCAGACAGATGTCACAGAATTAGGCTCAGTTAATTTCATTTCAATTTGCAACAATATAGTAATCCCTAGCGTAAACATAATAGGAAAACAAATAAATACAATGTATTTGGCTTTCATCCCCTACATTTCTTTGGTCCATCGTCGCCGGATTGAAGAACAGAATGCCGCGCCCCGTTATGTCCGTGTCGACAAGTGATAAATTTGATAACAGTACAACCGCACCGCGTACCGATACACTCGCCGCAATTGTAGAAGATGTTCCGGCAACAGAATTTAATTTGACGATGCAACCCGCCGCGCCCGTAGCAATCGACGCTGTACATAGGCCCGCACCGCGCGCCCCGTCAGCTCGTTCAGCCCGGTCGACAGCTAGCGTGATAGCCAGAATTAGGCAACTGGAGTATAACGCAGCAGAAGAGCTCGCCGCGATTCGTAAAAAGCAGTTAGAGATTCAGGAAGATTTAATTAAAAGAAATACGCTAGGGACATTGCGCAGTTACAAGAAGAAACCGATAGGGAAAGTCTCGATAATATGAACAATAGGAGCCGTGTGGATCAGTGGTTAGATAACATAAAGGTTGTGCGGGGTGAGCCGCCCCTTCGACAGTCTCAGCCCGCGCCCCGCGTCGACGTAGTGCACTACCCGTATATAGTAAGGACGCCCAGGGGAGGACGGTTGCGAATGATGATCAGCCGCGTCACAGTAACCACACAGCGCAGAGGGACTTGTTAGGAGCCGCCGCCGAATCAAAACGATCGAACCACCATGTAAAGGTGACGTCGCCGACACGCGTCCAATACCACACTCTATCGCCAGTACGTTGTAGGTCGTCATCGCCACATCGCCGCGAGGAACGTAGATTATCGTCGCTGTATAGTCGCGATGTTCATAGGCCACGGTCGCCTTATAACCGCGATACATCCCCAGATCGTCGTGTGTCGTCGGAAAGATTAATAAATAGGGATAGAGATAGGTCGCTCACCCCGCGAGGGAAAGACCGGGGAATCGAACGGCTTGCGGAAGCTTTAGAAAGCATGGTGAGATGTAGGCACGCCGCCGCGAAGCAAACACAGGACCTGCCTTTTTTTAACGGTGCGCCCGCGGAATGGTTAGCATTCAAAGCCGCGATGAAAGAATCCACTAGGATGTACGTATTCACTAATACGGAAAATATGGTACGGTTAAGATTTTGTTTACGTGGTGAAGCTAGGGAAGCCGTCTCCGCGTTATTGTTTACCGCGAGAGACCCAGCCGACATAATGCATACATTAGAGCAATGTTTTGTCCGACCGGAGGTAATTATTGATCGAGCATTAGAAGAATTACGACGCCTTCCGCGCCCGGGTCAGACCGCTCAGGAATTGAATGCGTTCGCGATTAAATTACAGAACGTAGTCTGTATAATGAAAAACGTAGACGGTAAAGGATACTTACAAAATCTTATGTTAATACGGGAGGTCACGAATAAGTTAAGCCCTCACCTACGGTCACGATGGTGCGACTATGCGGAGCATTACGGCAGTGCTGAAGAACCGGACATCGTCACACTGTCCAGGCTTATGATGAGAGAAGCTGACCGAGCGTTAAGTCACGCTTATACGTCCGTCACGCCGGTTAGGGAAGTGCCCGTAAGAAGAGAGACGCCGTCGTCGAGAAAAATAATAGTAACACGCCGCGCAGAGGATAGGCCCCGCGACGTGAAGACGTTCACCGCACGCGCAAACAGTGAAAGTGAAAGTGATAAAAAGTACCTGTGTTGTACACGCACGCACACATTAATACAACTACATACATAACAGATATGCGCTAGTGAGTAGCCCGTTCTTTACTAATTTTTGTTTTCTTGATTTAAGTAGTTCTGCTGAATAATTTATAATGTACCTTATCTTATGGCATAAATTAATAATGCAATGTTATGGGAGAAGTCACTGGCTCCTGAAACACAGTTTTACACTTGTTTAGGAGCCTATGGATTCACTGAAATATTTATTGTAATATTATATGTCAAATAAAGTTTATTATTATGGGGTATCTATATAGTTTTCTCATCTGGTTGGGTTCTATAAATATATAATTATAAATGAAAAAGAAAAAATAAATATACATAAATATCAATAACATAAAATAAATATAAAAGTACATAAATAAATAAAAGCCCAACCAGATGGAGGCCCTCGGCAGGGGAGACCAAACGGCCGAGGGTTAGGGGGAAAGGGAAAGAAACCGGCGGACGATGCGGGCGGTATCGAGGAGCACCGCCTTCTGCATTTAAACCTGGAGCGGTCCGCCACGTAGTCCCAGCCGCCTCAGATGACCCGAGAGGCTGACTGGGATTAGCCCGTTTGCAGAGACGACTACAGGAATAATTTCGGTCGGCAGACCACCCCACATGTCGGTCACCTCGTGAGCCAGGTCCAGATATTTTGTTTGCTTGTCTGTTTCGGCTTTCACGAGGTTCTCGTCATACGGAATGGTAATGTCGACCAAAAATATCCTTGACTGTGCCCGGTCCATCAGCACAATATCAGGCTTATTCGCAAGAATAGTCCTGTCTGTGATGATGGCCCGGTCCCAATAGAGCCTGGCGCGATCATTTTCGAGCACGGCTTCCGGCAAGTACTTGTAGTACGGCAATTTCCGGTCCTCCTGGAGTAGAATTCTGGCTACTAGGTTGTGCCTGTGCAAGTACTCAGAGTTAGAAAGCGCCGAACAACCGGAGATAACATGCCTAAGTGACTCACCGGGATGGCGACAAGCTCGACAGATGTCGACGGTGCCATCCTTTAGGATGTATCTCCGATAGTTGTTGGTCTTAATAACCTGATCCTGTATTGCACAGACAAAACCCTCGGTTTCCCCCGAAGAGATCACCAAAGCGTAGCCAGTGGAGGGAGGCTACTGTGTCTACGAAAGGCTCATGTAGAGCCTTGTAGAACCTCCCGTGGAGCTCCTTCTCCTTCCATACGGTCTCTCGGTCGGAAATGCTCTGCACTGCCGGGTCTTGCCATTGCTCGTTGGCTAAGGATAGAGGGGTAAGTCCTTTATCACAAGAAATGACGTCCATATAGAATGGATCATCCGATCTCGCCAGGAAGTAATCACGGAGGCTGCACACTTCGCGATTATGCATGGTGAGCGCGCTCAAGAAGCCACGACCACCATGCTCCCGCGACAAGTACAACCTCATTACCGACGATCTCGGATGATGTATCCTATGGGACGTCATGGTAGTGCGGACTTTTCTATCCAGGGCGTTAAGTTCAGTCTGAGTCCACCTGAGTATGCCAAAGGTATACATGAGGACAGGCATGACCCAGCCGTTATATGCGTGTGCCTTATTCACACCGGACAAAAGGCTGTTAAGCACTTTGGTCAAGCGTGCATAAAACACGTCGCAAACTGACTGTTTCGTACCAGTCTCATCGATACCGATGTTTTGTGACATACCCAGGTCCTTAAGTTGACGGGCATAGATAAGTCTACGCCCTCAGAGTTAGCAACCCTTCCCTTTTCAACATGGAGGACCGCACACTTATCCGTCCCAAGCTCCATTCCAATGAAATTGCTAAATTCACAAGTGATATTTAGCAATTCCATAAGATGGGAGCGACTGGAGGCGAATAACTTGAGGTCATCCATATAGAAAAGGTGGGTCACTTTTGTCCCTCCTCTCCGTAGCTGAAATCCTCTCCCGGAGCCCTCCAGTAAGGTACTGAGAGGGTTCAGAGAGAGGCAGAACCAGATTGGACTCAGACAATCGCCCTGGAAGATACCTCTTCTTATCCTTATGTGGTTCTCCGCAGCCATCATCCGCTCGCCCAGATGACAAAGGATCGTACTCCATTGCCCCATACACTGCTCAAGGAAGTCTCTAACTGTACAGTCTATCTTGTACAGCTCGAGGACTCTCTTTAGCCATGTATGGGGCACCGAGTCGAATGCCTTTCTGTAGTCTATCCAGGCGGCGGAGAAGTTCCGACGGTTGCGTTTCATCACTTTGCCAATGACCGCGTCAATGAGGAGTGGTTCCTTGGTTCCACGACCACCGCCCCGACATCCATTTTGAGCGCGCGACATCACCTGATTTGAGTCCAGGTGACAAGTGATTCTCGCGCTCAAAATGGATGTTAGTGTCTTGTATATGGTCGGTAGATACGTGATGGGGCGGTATTTGCTCGGGTCTGTGGTACCCTGGTCTTTAGGAACCAAATGAGTGATCCCAGTAGTGAAGAGGCTTGGGAGCGACTTCTGGTTGAGAGCCTCTTGAAACTGTCGGGCAAGCACAGAGTGACACACCATGAACCCCTTCAGCCAGTAGTGATGCAGCCCGTCAAGCCCCGGACTTTTCCAGTTCGGGGGCCCTACGGACCGCCTCAACTACGTCATCCGGCGTTATGATGACGGGGTCCATGGGCGTAATACCCGCACACTGACTCGCCACAACTTCCGTCCAAGGGCCCTCGCTGTGGTTTACGGGCTCTGACCACAGGCCGCGCCAGAATGCTACAGTGTCGGCCTGATTCGGTGCTGGACCCGTTCCACTTACCATTGGTCGCTCCAATGATTCATAGAGCCTCTTCTGATCACTCTGGAAGAGACGATTCTGGTTGAACCGTGTCGACCTCTCGGTATATCGCCGAATCCGTTTTCCCCAAGCAGCGATTCTCTGCTTCAGATCATCTATGCGCTCCGTCAGTTTTTGCGTTATATCCGGCTGAAGCATATCAGTCTGCCGATGAGAGCTCTAGCCTTTGCGATACGTTCCTCAATTCTTCTTCTCCATGCTGGGATAGCGCTACTATGGCCAGTAGCGCGTCCAGCCGTGGAAACCTTGGCGCCTATGATACGGCAGACTGCCAGCGCGGTGCCAAAAAGAATTGAGTCCGTCTCGCAAAGGTCCCGGCTGGCTTCCAAATAGGTCACCAGCATTGGGTTCAGAGCCCTCACGACAGCCCGATTCCGCTTGCTTAGGGCTATGCGGGGAAGTCGCGGTCGATTTTCGAGAGGCGTACTGCGCGTTTCCACAATCGCCTCTTCCAATGTACTCCTCATATGCTCTAATTCCAGTTCCTGGGCGACTGTTCCATCATCGTTTGAATCAACCACAACTGGGGTATTCACGGCGGCATCCACGTTTGCGGGTTGCTCTACCATTTGTGGCGCCGCATCCTCAGCCGTAGTATTCTCATCCGACGAGGGAACAGCCTCACGTCGTAGCCGTTCGAGTTCGGCGACATCAAATATATTTGAGCGCAAGATATACCGAACTCGGTCTGCCAGGTTTTGCTCTGTGACGGTTAAAGATGGCTCCAGCTCAGCAAAAAGACGATGCATCCTAGCCCGATACGCCAAACATCCAGTTTCTCCCCCCTTTCACCCCAAAATACGCCCGCAATACGTTGCTGTTCATCTGGGTTGTCCAACGCATGCGGCGTACTCCACCAGAGGCGGGTGCCGATTGCTGAGCCCGCGAAGACCCTGCCGACACCAAGCCAGCTGGTGGGGATGATGGATGCGAGGGGCTGCTGGGTGGTCGTGCAGCACCTCGCTCTCGGCTGGCGGTTCGCATGCTGCCGCGTCCAGCGCCAGCTCCAGACGCGCCCTGGCGACCTCCAGGCAGCGGCCCTTTGCGCGTTCTTCCGTATTCCATCATCCATAGTGGTGGGCGTCATTTAGCGGGAGACGCCCAGACCCGGCGCCGTTTCATGGTGAGGCCATGTGCACAAGCGGGCCTTTGCACCTTCAATTTTTGCCGAGGCACGGCACTAACACCTCTTGGCAAGGTGCTGACTGACTGCGCTGACGTAGCGGTTTTGTCACATAACCGTTACGTCAGCGGGCGATGGGGTCGTCACTTCCCTACGCCTTATTATTATTATTATTATTTTTATTATTATTATGTTCGGGGTATCTATATAGTTTTCTCATCTGGTTGGGATGTATAAATATATAATTATAAACGAAAATGAAAGGATAAATATACATAAATATCAATAAAATAAAATAAATACAAAAATACATAAATAAATAAAATCCCAACCAGATGGAAGCCCTCGGCAGGGGAGACCAAACGGCCGAGGGTTAGGGAGAAAGGGAAAGAAACCGGTGGACGATGCGGGCAGTATCAAGGAGCACCGCCTTCTGCATTTGAGCCCGGAGCGGTCCGTCACGGATTCCCAGTCGCCTCAGATGACCAGAGAGGCTAACTGGGATTAGCCCATTCGCAGAGATGACTACAGGAATAATTTCGGTCGGCAGACCACCCCACATGTTGGTCACCGCGTAAGCCAGGTCCAGATATTTTGATTGCTTATCTGTTTCGGCTCTCACGAGGTTCTCGTCATACGGGATGGTAATATCGACCAAAAATATCCTTGACTGTGCCCGGTCCATCAGCACAATATCAGGCTTATTCGCAAGAATAGTCCTGTCTGTGATGATGGCCCGGTCCCAATAGAGCCTGGCGCGGTCATTTTCGAGCACGGCTTCCGGCAAGTACTTGTAATACGGCAATTTCCGGTCCACGAGACCGTATTTCAGAGCGAGCTCCTGGTGTAGAATTCTGGCTACTAGGTTGTGCCTGTGCAAGTACTCAGAGTTAGAAAGCGCCGGACAACCGGAGATGTCATGCCTAAGTGACTCCCCGGGATGGCGACAAGCTCGACAGATGTCGACGGTGCCATCCTTTAGGATGTATCTCCGATAGTTGTTGGTCTTAATAACCTGATCCTGTATTGCACAGACAAAACCCTCGGTTTCCCCGAAGAGGTCACCGAAACGTAGCCAGTTGAGGGAGGCAACTGTATCTACGAAGGGCTCATTTCGAGCCTTGTAGTACCTCCCGTGGAGCTCCTTCTCCTTCCATACGGTCTCCCGGTCGGAATTGCTAAGCACTGCTGGGTCCTGCCATTGCTCGTTGGCTAAGGATAGAGGGGTAAGCCCTTTATCACTAGAAATGACGTCATTATAGAATGGATCATCCGATCTCGCCAAGAAGTACTGACGGAGACTGCACACTTCGCGATTATGCATGGTGAGCGCGCTCAGAAAGCCACGCCCACCATACTTTCGCGGCAAGTACAACCTCATTACCGACGATCTTGGATGATGCATCCTATGTGACGTCATGGTAGTGCGGACTTTTCTATCCAGGGCGTTAAGCTCAGTCTGAGTCCACCTGAGTATGCCAAAGGTATACATGAGGACAGGCATGACCCAGCCGTTATATGCGTGTGTCTTATTCACACCGGACAAAAGGCTGTTAAGCACTTTGGTCAAGCGTGCATAAAACACATCGCAAACTGACTGTTTCATACCAGCCTCATCGACACCGATGTTCTGTGACATACCCAGGTATCGGTATGTTTCAGCCTCGGAAAGGGTCCTTAAATTGACGGGCATAGACAAGTCTATGCCCTCAGAGTTAGCAACCCTTCCCCTTTCAACATGGAGGACCGCACACTTATCCGTCCCCAGCTCCATTCCAATGGAACTGCTAAATTCACAAGTGATGTTTAGCAGTTCCATAAGATGGGAGCGACTGGAGGCGAATAACTTGAGGTCATCCATATAGAAAAGGTGGGTCACTTTTGTCCCTCCTTTCCGTAGCTGAAATCCCCTCCCGGAGCCCTCCAGTAAGGTACTGAGAGGGTTAAGAGAGAGGCAGAACCAGATTGGACTCAGACAATCGCCCTGGAAGATACCCCTTCTTATCCTTATGTGGTTCTCCGCAGCCGTCATCCGCTCACCCAGATGACAAAGGATCGTACTCCACTGCCCCATACACTGCTCGAGGAAGTCTCTAACTGTACAGTCAATCTTGTACAGCTCGAGGACCCTCTTTAGCCATGTATGGGGCACCGAGTCGAACGCCTTTCTGTAGTCTATCCAGGCGGCAGAGAAGTTCCGACGGTTGCGTTTCACCACTTTGCCTATGACCGCGTCAATGAGGAGTGGTTCCTATATATATATATATACGCTATTCCCACAGTTTCTTCCCCTTTCGCCCTATAGTACGCCCGCAATGCGTTTTCGTTCATGGATTTTGTCCAACGCATGCGACGTGCTCCACCAGCGGCGGGTGCCGCTTGCTGGGTCCGAGAAGACCCAGCCGACACCAAGCCTTCTGGTGGGGATGATGGATGCGAGGGGCTGCTAGGTGATCGTGCAGCTCCTCGCACTCGGCTGGCGGCCCGCATGCTGCCGCGTCCAGCGCCAGCTCCAGACGCGCCCCGGCGACCCCCCAGGCAGCGGCCCTATGCGCGTTCCTTTTTGTGTTTTTTCCATCATCCATTTTATGGGCGCCAAATAACGGGAGACGCCCAAGCCCGGCACCGTTTCGTGGTTGGGTCATATGCACAAACGGACCTTTGCATCTACAATTTTGCCTAGGCACGGCGCTCACACCTCTTGGCAGGATGCTGACTGACTGCGCCAACGTCGCAGTTTTGTCACATAACTGTTACGTCAGCGGGCGATGGGATCGTCACTTCCCTACGCCTTTTATTATTATTATTATTGATGGCTGCACCGCCCCTCATCACGCGTTGCTTCACGTGAAAAAGACCCAAGCCCCGGAAGCATCTGTCGCCCCAGATGAAACAGTGCTCGTCGCGTCTAATACGGCTAACGATAGAACAGTGTTGTTGAAAGTGCGTCCTATAATAGTGCGCGGACCGCGAGGTAAAGAGATCGAAACTTACGCGCTCCTCGACGAAGGATCTACGATCTCGTTAATAGATAATGAGTTAGCTCGTGAATTAGGTACGGAAGGGCCGACGAGGCCATTGACGATATAAGGTTTATCAGATAGCCAATGAGAGGCTAATAGTCGCGTAGTGAACACAACAGGGAACCGCACCTCGTGTTATATGTAGGCAAGATAGTGAAACCGTTCTATATATATCTTACGTTAATACAAAATACGAAGAAGACGTCAAAACGTATGTCAATTCGGACGAAGAGTTGACCGATCTCCTCAAGAAGCAATATGAGATCGACTCGATAAGTATCTCGCTCAAGAGCAGGCCACGACGGGACGATGAGCGCGCTGTTGACATATTCCAGCGCACCGTCAAGAAGGTCGGCGAGCGCTACCAAGTCGGATTGCCATGGAGGGACGACGACGTCAAGCTGCCACCGAGTTATGATATGGCAGCACGCAGACTCCGAGCCATTGAGAGTAAGATGGATTAGTCGCCGGAGTTCAACGAATCTTATACGAAGCAAGTGAACGACCTCCTGGAGAAGGGTTATGCTAAAGAAGCTGACGGATCAGAACGAGAGGATCCGAAGAGCTGGTACCTGCCACACTTCGCATTACGGAATACGAACAAGCCGGGAAAGCTGAGGCTAGTATTCGACGCAGCAGCTCGCGCTTCAGGCAAGTGCCTGAACGATTATTTGTTAAACGGCCCCGACTTGAAACGTAATTTGCCAGGTATATTATTTAGGTTTCGTGAAAACGAGATAGCGGTGTCAGCGGACATTAGAGAGATGTTTTTGCGTGTTAAGATCGAAGTAGTAGTTCACCGAAAGATTCGTCTGTCGGGTACCGTCCTACGAATAACATCTATGTTGTGAATTCGCAAAGCTAAAATTAATGTTTTGGTGTAAAAAGTGGACTTTAACATTTTAATCAGTTATCAATGTGTAAAATTAACATCGAATGAACTAAATTTGCAATATACTAATCTGTAAACATTAATTATGGCCCAAAAATCAAGTTATAAAGTGCAGCGTTATATGAATTTACCTACATTACGTTAATTTTTACAAAGTGCAATCATCCGATCCGAACGCATAAGCGTGTTCTAAACACGCATCACTTAAGATCTTCTTCTCGCGAACTCAACTAAACGCGCAAAACAAAGCAGCGTTCGGGGATTTTATTGCTGTGCGAATTAAATTGTGAATATTAACTATAACTCATTCCTTATGGCGATTACGGGTCATTTGTTGCCGTGCACTTTTCAAGTTATATTTTTGACCATTAAAAGAAAATGACTTCGTTAAACGTTGAATGGGGGTGTTGTTCTACAGGCTATGAGGATGACAGTTATTTAAAATGCTCAAAATGCAAAGCAGCTTATCACTATCTATGTCTCTCTGCGGGACAGAAAAAGCTTACGCGCACTAACGTTCCTAAGGATTAGTTGTGCCCTAAATACAGAGAATCAACACCCAAGGGATCCAAAAATGACAACACATCAATTCGTCAGCTGCAGAATGTCACCGTGCGCCCTTCAAAAAGGCCAGCTATGTCGTCTCCACCGTGTAAACAAGACTCCCTTGTAACGCGTGAAGGAATCCGCGAAATTGTGGAAGAAGTTCTA